GTAATGAAAGAGAATAACTACAACTCAGATTACTGTACCCAGCAAGGAGTTCATTAAGCTATGAAGGAGATTTCAAAAGCTTTACAGACAAGCAAAAGTTAAGAATATTCAGCAACATCAAGGCAGCTCTTAAACAAATGATAAAGGATCTTCTCTAGACAGGAAACAGAATGATTGTATGAACCCGAACCCAAAACAACAAAGCAAATGGCAACGGGACCATACCTATCAATAATTACCTTAAATGTAAATGGGTTGAATGCCCCAACCAAAAGACAAAGACTGGCTGAATGGATACAAGAACAAGACCCATATATATGTTGTCTACAAGAGACCCACCTCAAAACAAGGGACACATACTGAAAGTGAAAGTCTGGAAAAAAATATTTCACACAAACAGAGACCAAAATAAAGCAGGAGTCACAATACTCATATTCAACAAAATAGACTTTAAAATAAAGACTGAGAAAAGAGACAAAGAAGGACACTACATAATGATCAAAGTATCAATCCAAGAAGAAGATATAACAATTACAAATATATACACACCCAACATAGGAACACCACAATATGTAAGGCAAATGCTAACAAGAATGAAAGGGGAAATTAACAATAATACAGTAATAGTGGGAGACTTTATTACCAAACTCACACCCATGGATAGATCAACTAAAGAGAAAATTCACAAGGAAACACAAACTTTAAATGACACAATGGTCCAGCTAGACCTCACTGATATCTATAGGACATTTCATGCCAAATCAATCAATTTAACATTTTTTTCAAGTGCACAGAGAACCTTCTCCAGACTAGATCACATCCTGGGCAATACATCTAGCCTTGGTAAACTAAAAAAATTGAAATAATTCCAGTCAACTTTTCTGACCATAATGCAGTAAGATTAGATCTCAATTACAGGAAAAACACTATTAAAAGTTTGAACATATGGAGGTTAAATAACACACTTCTGATAACCAACAGATCATACAAGAAATCAAAAAAGAAACCAAAATATGCATATAAATGAATGAAAATGAAAACATAACAACCCAAAACCTATGGGACACTGTAAAAGCAGTGCTAATGGGAAGGTTCATAGCAATACAGGCTTACCTCAAGAAACAAGAAAAAATGTCAAACAAATAACCTAACTCTACACCTAAAGCAACTAGAGAAGGAAGAAATGAAGAAATGTGGCAAAAATGCCACAATAAAGAAAACTACAGGCTAGTATCACTGATGAACCTGGATGCAAAAATTCTTAACAAAATTCTAGCAAACAGAATCCAACAACATATTAAAAAGATCATACATCATGATCAAGTGGGCTTTACCCCAGGAATGAAAGGATTCCTTAATATCCACAAATCAATCAGTGTCATATATCACATCAACAAACTGAAATATAAAAACCATGTGATTATCTCAATAGATGAGGAAAAAGCCTTTGACAAAATTCAACATCCATTTATGATAAAAAAAAAAAAACTCTCCAGAAAGCAGGAATAGAAGGAACATACCTCAACATAATAAAAGCTATATATGACAAACACGCAACAAATATCCTCAATGGTGAAAAATTGAAAGCATTTCCCTTAAAGTCTATAACAAGACAAAGGTGCCCACTCTCATCACTACTATTCAACATAGTTTTGGAAGTTTTTGCCACAGCAGTCAGGGCAGAAAAAGAAATAAAATGAATCCAGATAGGAAAAGAAGTAAAACTCTCACTGTTTGCAGATGATATGATGCTCTACATAGAACTCCCTAAAGACTCTACCAGAAAATTCCTAGGGCTAATCAGAGAACACAGTAAAGTTGCAGGATATAAAATTAGCACAGAGAAATCCCTTGCATACCTATACATTAACATTGAGAAAACAGAAAGAGAAATTAAGGAAACAGCATCATTTAACACTGCAACAAAAATAATAAAATACTTAGGAGTATATCTACCTAAGGAAATGAGAGACCTATATATAGAAAACTATAAAACACTGATGAACAAAATCAAAGAGGACACAAACAGATAGAGAAATGTACCCTCTACATGGATTGGAAGAATCAATATTGTGAAAATGACTATACTACCCAAAGCAATCTACATATTCAATGCAATCCCTATCAAGCTACCAAAGGTATTTTTCACATAATTAGAACAAATAATTTTGCAATTTGTATGGAAATACAGAAAACCTAGAATAGCCAAAGCAATCTTGAGAAAGAAGAATGGAACTGGAGGAATCATCCTGCCTGACGTCAGGCTCTACTACAAAGCCACAGTCATCAAGACAGTATATGCAAGGTGAAAAGACAGCCTTCACAATGGGAGAAAATAATAGAAAACTAAAGAACAGACAAAGGATTAATCTCAAAAACATACAAGAAACACCTGCAGCTCAATTCCAGAAAAATAAATGACCCAATCAAAAAATGGGCCAAAGAATTAAACAGACATGTCTCCAAAGAAGACATACAGATGGTTAACAAACACATGAAAAGATGCTCAACATCACTCATTATCAGAGAAATGCAAATAAAAACTACAATGAGGTACCATTACAAGCCAGTCAAGATGGCTGCTATCCAAAAGTCTACAAGCAATAAATGCTGGAGAGGGTGTGGAGAAAACGGAACCCTCTTACACTGTTGGTAGGAATGCAAACTAGTACAGACACTCTGGAGAACAGTGTGGAGATTCCTTAAAAAACTGAAACTAGAACTGCCATATGACCCAGCAATACCACTCCTGGGCATACACGGTAAGGAAACCAGATCTGAAAGACACACATGCACCTCAACGTTCATCGCAGCACTGTTGATAATTGCCAGGAAATGGAAGCAACCTAGATGCCCATCAGCAGAAGAATGGATAAGGAAGCTATGGTACATATACACTATGGAATATTACTCATCCATTAAAAAGAATTCATTTAAATGGTTCCAATGAGGTGGATGCAACTGGAGCCCATTATACAGAGTGAAGTAAGCCAGAAAGATAAACACCAATACAGTATACTAACACATACATATGGAATTTTAAAAGATGGTAATGATAACCCTATATGCAAAACAGAAAAAGAGACACAGATGTAGAGAACAGACTTTTGGACTCTGTGGGAGAAGGTGAGGATGGGATGTTTCGAGAGAACAGCATCAAAACATGTATATTATCTAGGGAGAAACAGATCACCAGCCCAGGCTGGATGCATGAGACAAATGCTCAGGGCTGGTGCACTGGGAAGACCCAGAGGGATGGGATGGAGAGGGAGGTGGGATGGGGGATCAGGATGGGGAACACATGTAAATCTATGGCTGATTCATGTCAATGTATGGCAAAAACCACTACAATATTGTAAGGTAATTAGCCTCCAACTAATAAAAATAAATGAAAAAAAAATAAAATAGAAGTCTTCTCCAAGGCCATAGTTCAATGGGCATAGAGGTCTGTCATTTGTCAGTGACATCATATTCCCCCATTAGAATTTAACCACCAAACCTGAATTTAAACAATATGCAAAATTGAGGATCAAGACACAGTGCCCCACATACATACATCTGGAGACAGGAGAGGCTCCTGTTGTATTCAAGGGACAGGCCTGGGTAGATCTCATGCAGGAATAGGCCCTGGGAGTCCTGGATGAGTCATTAAACACCAGTGTCTGTACATTGGCTGCCACAGGTGTTTGTCTTCTTTGACTGGGAAGACCTTTAAAAATTATTTTGTTTTTTTTTGGTCTTTGCTTTGGCAGACAAAATTTTTCATGGTATAGACACTACGGGGAAATTTTATCAGAAATGTATCCATTTACCTTCAGCAGTTAAGTTTGTTGGTTTTCATGTCTCCAATGAACTTTCTTTATAAAGAGAAAGGAAATAAAAATGTTCAGAATGCATTCAGTCTCTTTGTAAATCAACCAACTTGAATTAAATTCCTCTCTGTCCCCACTGCACTCCCAAGTCTAGGCTAGAAATAAAAAACCTGCAGAGACTGAAGGCTGATTCCAGCACATCGTTGTCCGGATTTCATTCCCACTGTTTTTTCGGGAAAACAAAACTAGATCCTAACATTAAAACCAGTAGTTTGTACATACATATTCAACCTTCTGATTCTCTTGAAAACATGGCTAACTGGCCTGCTTTCAAGTGTAGGTGAAGTGGAGGAAAGTCTGCTGCCAGGGGTCAGCGTCCAGCATGGCCACCTAGTCCTACTATCATTTCTCTTGCCTCCTGGGGCCATGAGTTTGTGAGGACTAGACTGCTAGCTCTCTTAAGATAAAGAGTACTTTTGTCTTGATCCACTTTGACTTTGAAGCCTTTAACCCAGAACCCAGCACAGTCCTTCTTTGTATGTTTGTTGGATGATATAAAATACCTTGTGGATGCATATGACATTTCTTTCAATACTGAAACCCATGCAATTGAAGTACTGCTCTGCCCTAAATATTTGATGCAGACTGGCATCACAGGTGCCCCTGATCTCTGCCACTAGACCCACTACCTAAGGCCAGTTGTATGTCCCTGGGGTGTCCCTGAAGTCTTCACTTTGCCATTTGACAACTTATCCTCCTAGCAATCTCTTCTCCAACGAAGACAGCAATGCATATCTCATAAAGTGGCTAGGAAGATGACATGAAATCATGAATGTACACCGTGGCCTCTAGTTACCATTTCATGATGTTCTTAGCAGATTTTTCTCCAAGTAGGCAAAGTTCTTTGTCTTCTTAGATGTCCATGAAGATCAGTTAGATTTTCCAGCCAAGATTCAAGGGACAGTTTACAGTTCAATTGTCTGTATTCTGAGAAGCTTCAAAGTCCACTTGCCAAGGACACTGATGAAAGTAAAGATTTTATCAAAAGCTTTGTGTTTTTATCAGATATATTAGTGGTATAAAGGGGAAAACAAGGGTAGGTCAGAGCATATATAACTAGGGGCTCCCGGTCACCACTACATGCTAAGAACCCGAACTTCCCTGAGTACTTGGAGTCAGGAAAGAAGCATGAAGTGGCTTGTGCTCCTCGGGCTGGTGGCCTTCTCAGAGTGCATAGTCAAGTAAGTATGGGGACTGTAAGCTGCATCATCTTCCTTTCTCAGATTTTTCTTTTCATTTGATTATTCTTCCAGCCATCAGGCTTAGATGGGAATGGAATATTTCCCTGACAGCTTTAAAGTTCAACCCTTACTTATTGATAAGTACCTTGTTTTAGGAACTGTGGATCCCAAGGGTCTTGGTGTAGATTTGCATGGTTGCACAACTCTTGGAGTCCAGTCATGACCTATTGAAAATGCAACTCCTTACAACTGTTCAGTGCACAGTCTATGCAGATGTAGGTGTGGTCCTGCGGGATGGCACATTTCTACATTTTACTCAACAAGTCCTCTTTGTTCTCTGTCTACTTCAGTGTGTATATGCCTATGTCTGATTCTCTGTATTACTATCATTTACCTCTCAATCTGTTTGGAGGTCTCTGTGAGTGTATTTCTCTCTGTGTTGTTTTCTTTTAATTTTTCATTTGACTCATCCTTCATTCTAGAGCCTCTGAATTATCCTTACCTGTTCCCTAACTCCTGGATTCTTCTTTCAACTCCCTCTACTCTTTCACCTTGGAGAAAGATATACTGTTTGATATAAAGATTTATATCTGACAAGCAGCCTGATCACAGCCAACTCAGTAACCTCTTGCACTGCAAATCGCTCCCTTGTAAAAGAGCATAAGAGTCCCCCTTCTACCTCCTTCCTCGAGGTTCTATGAAAAGGATACAGTGAGATGGCAACAGCAATGCTAATGGCTGTCATTGGTGAGACTTCCTATTTATCAGGTACCTTATATCCATCACTTCACTTATCCCCCAAAAATATTCGATTTGAGGGTTTGTATTGTTACATTCCACCATTTTACCAAGGGGGAGACTGAGACACCACATGATCATATGGCTTGTCCCAGATTGCAGAACAGAACCTGTAATCAAACCTGTCTTTGCCATGGTATATGCATAAAATTCTGATAATTATGTGCCTCATAAAAATGATTAGAAAATACACAGGGCCATTACAATGATGGTTTTACCTTAACACTGACAGCTAATCAGAGCTTCTTTGTTTTGTTGGTCAAATTCTCGGTAAAGAATACCTCTAAAGAGAGTGCAGATCATGAGAAAAACCCGCAGTGAAAAAAATATGCTGAACAGTTTCCTGGAGGAACATGCTTACAGACTGTACAAGACTTCTTCTCCTGGCTCAAATATAACTACTCACCCCATGAGAAACATCAAGAATGTGAGTATTTTGGGAGGATGGTGCTCAACAGCGCCCCCTTTTGCTCTAGCCTAGCACTGGGGCTCATCTGGAGGTGCCAGGTGGGATGTGGGGTTGAGGATCCTGCAGGAGGCAGAAACACTGGAAAACAGGGATCCCACCCAGAGGAGAACACACTCTCATCCTCAACTGTTGGTCTTTGTGACTGGGCTACCAGATGGCAGATAAATATCCATTTCTGTGTCCAAGATGTGCCATTAGTTTGAGGGAGATTGTTCCTTCAGAAATAAGTGAGTCAGTCAGTTATAGATGAAGAGTGAAGCGTCACTGAGCAAATGGTAGAACCAACAACAATGCAATCGTGAATCCCCAGGCAGAGGAAATCAATTTCCACAGAAGCAAGAATCACAGCCGTAAAAAGTCAATGAACCCGTATTCCATGTAAGGCCATAAGTATCTAACACTGGTTACTGTTTTTAGATTAGAGAAAGGGCTTATTTTGTCTTCAAGAATGCTCATGCTGGCCTGAGAGATAGACGTATTAGTAAATACATGTCAAATGAAAGGGTCACCTGTGTGGTGTTGATTGGATGTGGTCTGAGTTTAGAGGGAGTGGCTGAGGTTGATCAAGAAGGACCTCCTGGAGAAGGGGGTGCTAAGGCTGGGTTTGAAGAGACTACAGAGTTTCTCAAATGAAGGTACCAGGACTTCCCTGGGTGTCTAGTGGTCCTGGAGGTCCAGTGGTTATGCCTCTGTGCTTCTAATGCAGGATGTATCACTTCAACACCTGGTCATAGATTCAATATCCTGCATACCATGCAGCACAGGAAAGATATATCAAATGCAGGCACCTCTGTGACCAAAGTCAGTGAACTGCACGGTGGTTAGAAAGTGATCTCAAGAGATATGTGACATCCAGAGGGAGGCATGAGTGTGGGAATAGAGGGTAGCCAGCTCTGCACTAACCTACTCCCTCCTTTTCCCTGTAGATGCTCTATGTGGGTAACATCACCATTGGAACACCCCCTCAGAAATTCCAGATTCTCTTTGATACAGGCTCATCTAACTTGTGGGTGCCCTCTATGCTTTGCACCAGCCGATTCTGTTGTGAGTACAGACAACCCATACCCGGACCATCTTTCCCTTGTCCTGCCACCCTGTTTTGCACCCTTGGCACCTGGTGACAGTTATCTCTTGTGTCTGCAGCTTCACACGTTTTGTTCAGACATCTTGAGTCTTCCACCTACCAGCCTACCAATAAGACCTTCATCATCAATTACCTTTCTGGGAGGATGAAGGGAGTGATTGCTCGTGACACCGTTCGGGTAACAGTGTAACAAATGCTGAGTCAGGACTGGCTATGGAGTGACCACTTCTTGCAAAACAGTTTCAGGATGATCTGGCAGGACCCTTCCTAGCCTAACTCCCATAGATATTGGCCAACATACCCACAGGATCCTGTCCTTGGGGAGGCAGTGCCCGTGGTGACAGATGAGCACACAGATTAGCTAACCCAGAGAGTGGCTTCAGATGGGGACTTGAAGCTTCTCTGCCCATGAGCAGTTCAAGGTTCATTTTGCTGGGAGGGAGAAGAGGGGGAAAAAAGCACCCAATTTATATTCTGATACACTGTTCCAGCCAGTTTCAAGTTATCAGTGGTTTAGTCCTGCAACAATGCCACATAGCAGTTACTCTGATTAGCTCATGAGACATATAAGGAAACTGAGGTGCAGACAGCAAGGGCCTTGCTCAGGACACACATGTGGTAAACAGTGGAGCTTAACTGGCTTTTCAGGACTGAAGTTGCTGTGGGGTGTTTGGGGACAGGATAAAACTGACCTGGGGACCCTCAGGGCATTCAAGGGCTTCGAATATCCAGACTGGGAAACTGGAGGCCTGAGAAGTTAGGGGTAAGATAAACTAGTTCTCAGAATAGGGGGCCTTTGAGAGTCCAACATAACTTATGGCTTGCCTCCCCCAAAGTACTTGAGTAGTTCCCCTCTCTCTCTTTCTCTGTCATACACACTCACACAAAGACACACATATCCCCAAAATTGAATTGCACAGGCAGTAATTTCATAGATTCCTGCAAGCAAGAATGTGTTTTCAGCTTCTGTCTTCCTGGACAGATGCAGAATCCACAGTAACCTACAGAGAATGCGGTCCATTCCTATCATTAGGTCACAGTGATGCCAAAGAGAAGGCTACCTTGCTCTCGGCGCATTTTGTCCACAAGGGGGCACCAATGGGTCCTGGCCTGACTCGGTTGCCCCACCTGTACAGAAGCCAGGAGGCCAGTTTGACTCACTCAGGTGGTGTCTTTCAGAGGGTCAGATGTTTTAAAATTCACAGCCTTTCTCAAATGGAACCCAAATTCCCCTCCCAGCTTGGTCTAAGCGCCTGAGGTCCACCAAAGACACAGCCCAGCCTCAATTCTTCTCTAAGGATCTAATGGCAATGCACTGCAGCCGAGTCCTATCCCCAATTCATGTATCTGTAAGTGGGATCACTCTTCTCTCCCACAGATTGGGGACCTTGTAAGTACTGACCAGCAATTTGGTCTAAGCATGGAGATATCCAGGAATAAGGAAGTACCTTTTGATGGTGTCTTGGGCTTGGGCTACCCCAAATTTTCTTTCAGTGGAGTTATCCCCATCTTTGACAACCTGAAGAATCAAGGAGCCATTTCTGAGCCCGTCTTTGCCTTCTACTTGAGCAAGTAAGTCTGAGATGGACAATCCCTTTCTCTAAATTAGCTGTAATTTGCTTTCAGTTGCATGAAAATTATGAAACAGTTGAGAAAGAAGTATCCGGAGAGATAATCTAATCCAAGATAACTATGGCCCCAGGGCCCTTCCTGGCTTCACCACTGGATTTTATAAATAATGTTTTATTGGAACACAACCCTGCTCCTGGCCTCAAGATCAGTAACTTGGTCTAGGGTGATGAGTGAGGATGAAGACTAATGGAAGGCAACAGGAAATAAGTTGAAGGAAAAGGCATTAGGATTAGCTAATTAATTTGATAAGGAACAAGAAGGATGGTGGGTAGCTTTCCTTCCTCATTAGAGTTTCACTGGTAACCCAGGACGAGCTACCCAATTTGCAAGAGCCAGTGAAAACAAAAGTGTGGGACCCTTGTTCAAGAAATATTAGGTATTTCAAGACAGGGAGAGCAGAGGTGGGGTACTTCTGAGTGTGGGGCTCTTTGGACAGTGGAGGTTACAGGCCCTTGGAGCCAACTCTAGGTGACCTGATCCCACACACTTAGCACTCCAAGTTCTTGATTTTCCTGAAAAATGACAAAGTGGACAAGGGAAAAGCAAAAAATTCTTCAGCACCCTGTCCTCTGAGGGTGTCTGAGCACTCAGGTCACAGGAGGTCCAGGGCATCTTCAGAAGATATTGTGGGTGGACCCCAGCCAGGTGACTCAGCTTCTAACCTCCTCTGTGCCACTCATTACCCAGTAACCGACCTCAGTCTGTTTCTCAATTGCACCTAGCCTCGATTTCTTCATCTGTAGATAAGTACCTTATTAGAGACTTGATGGTTGGAGAAGCAAACCTCTCAGACAGTGCTGTTGTTACTGACTTCCAAGGATCCCCCCACTGTCTTCTCTCTACAGAGGCAATCCAGAGGGCAGTGTGGTGATGTTTGGTGGGGTGGATACATCCTACTACCATGGAACGCTCAACTGGGTACCATTGATCGAAGCAGGCAGATGGTGTGTCCACATGGACCGGTAAGCCTCTCCCTCTGAGGGTCAGCCCCCCAAAATGCTCCCACTACTGTACATGGACACAGGCAGACATGCACAACTGGATTCTCAGACAAATAGTCACAGAGACATATACACCACCCACAACGACACAGACAGAAACACAGACACATGGAAACTCACAAGCAGACACATATAAACAGAGACACATATAAGCATGCATAGCTAGTCAGAGACACAGAAGCACACACAGAGACACATACAAACAAACACACAAGCACATAGCTACACCAACAGCCCATGGGTTCATAATCCCCAGGCCTCCTGACCAGGGCTCTGCTCAGGGTCCTCACAAGGTCCAGAGAGGTCTGTGCAGCTGGGAGAGTGCTGTACCTGCTGCCCTGTGAGGCGGGGAGCACGGTCAGAGGACTCAACAGTGTGGTGAACAGGATCAGTGAGGATTTCACCAGCCTGGACAGCGTTATAAGATGACCAACTGTCCAGGTCTACCTGGGACCAAGCAAGTTCTCTGTGCAGAATAAAAGTCAGTTTATTTATTTATTTTTTTTTACTTTATTTATTTATTTATTTTTTTTATCACAACCATAGTGTATCTTTTTTTTTTTTTTTACATGTATTCCCCATCCCGGTCCCCCCTCCCACCTCCCTCTCCACCCAATCCCTCTGGGTCTTCCCAGTGCACCAGGCCCGAGCACTTGTCTCATGCACCCAACCTGGGCTGGTGAACTGTTTCACCCTAGAAAATATACGTGTTTCAATGCTGTTCTCTTGAAACATCCCACCCTCGCCTTCTCCCAGAGTCCACAAGTCTGTTCTATACATAGGAGTCTCTTTTTCTGTTTTGCACATAGGGTTATCGTTACCATCTTTCTAAATTCCATATATATGTGTTAGTATACTGTAATGGTCTTTATCTTTCTGGCTTACTTCGCTCTGTATAATGGGCTCCAGTTTCATCCATCTCATTAGAACTGATTCAAATGAATTCTTTTTAATGGCTGAGTAATATTCCATGGTGTACATGTACCACAGCTTCCTCATCCATTCGTCTGCTGATGGGCATCTAGGTTGCTTCCATGTCCTGGCTATTATAAACAGTGCTGCGATGAACATTGGGGTACACGTGTCTCTTTCAGATCTGGTTTCCTCGGTGTGTATGCCCAGAAGTGGGATTGCTGGGTCATATGGCAGTTATATTTCCAGCTTTTTAAGAAATCTCCACACTGTTTTCCATAGTGGCTGTACTAATTTGCATTCCCACCAACAGTGTAAGAGGGTTCCCTTTTCTCCACACCCTCTCCAGCATTTATTGCTTGTAGACTTTTGGATAGCAGCCATCCTGACTGGTGTGTAATGGTACCTCATTGTGGTTTTGATTTGCATTTCTCTGATAATGAGTGATGTTGAGCATCTTTTCATGTGTTTGTTAGCCATCTGTATGTCTTCCTTGGAGAAATGTCTGTTCAGTTCTTTGGCCCATTTTTTGATTGGGTCATTGATTTTTCTGGAGTTGAGCTGGAGGAGTTGCTTGTATATTTTTGAGATTAATCCTTTGTCTGTTGCTTCGTTTGCTATTATTTTCTCCCAATCTGAGGGCTGTCTTTTCACCTTGCTTATAGTTTCCTTTGTTGTGCAAAAGCTTTTAAGTTTCATTAGGTCCCATTTGTTTATTTTTGCTTTTATTTCTAAAATTCTGGGATGTGGGTCATAGAGGATCCTGCTGTGATTTATGTCGGAGAGTGTTTTGCCTATGTTCTCCTCTAGGAGTTTTATAGTTTCTGGTCTTACATTTAGATCTTTAATCCATCTTGAGTTTATTTTTGTGTATGGTGTTAGAAAGTGTTCTAGTTTCATTCTTTTACAGGTGGTTGACCAGTTTTCCCAGCACCACTTGTTAAAGAGGTTGTCTTTTTTCCATTGTATATCCTTGCCTCCTTTGTTAAAGATAAGGTGACCATAGGTTCGTGGATTTACCTCTGGGCTTTCTATTCTGTTCCATTGATAAAAGTCAGTTTAAAAACAGGGAAAATCTTCAGAAAATGGAGAAAACTGGTCTCCTTATGGAGAAGTTACCCAGCAGTGGAGAGAATCTTGGCTGAAGTCTTAAGACGTGAAAGCAACAAATAAAAAAGACACCCCACATCACTGGGCATACAGTAGGGCAGGGACTATAACAGAAAATCATGAAGGTGGGATCCAGGAGTGACCTGAGGACAAGAGGCAATAACTGATAGGATTCTGTGTGATACCCTCAGACAAACACTGACCTGTCCTTTGGAGTTTCCATGGGCTAGTCATGTATTTCCTGGCCAGCGTCTCAGGGTCTGAGCTGGTTGTAGCAGCAATGCTGGGAGACACCCTCTTCCAGAGGAGCCTCTCTCTCCCACCACTATGAGAATCTGCTGCCCCTGTGAATCTCCATCTTCACTCTGTGTTCCATCTATTATATGTTCCCCACCAGATACAGCTCTCTGGATGTTTCTCATTATTTTCACAGTCTTCATTCACTAATTGAACAGGCAAACATTGGGCATCCACTGTGTGCCAGGCACTTTAGGAAGGCAAGGAGAATAAAACTCGCCCTCACATCTAAGAAAGCAGATGCACAGAAATGACACACACACTTAGTGAATTGTGACTTTGGTACATGCTAGACATAAGGAAGGGTCTACAGAGACTGACCAGGACAGGAGACTGATAAACACCGGGGGAAAGTCTTCCTTGAGAACAATACAATTAAGCTGGAATCTGGAAGATGAGTAGAAATTTGGTAGTCAAAGGGGAGTGGAGTCTTCTAGGAAGGAAGACCAGCTTGTGTCAAGGTACAACAGATCCTGGTGTATTCAAGTACTGCATTCAAGGATGTCAAGGGAGGTGCCATGTTGAGAGCAGATAAAGAGAGTCAGGGCAAGAGACAAAGGGCTCTTTAGGAGACAGTCAGGAACAGGGAATCTCTGGGGAGACTCAGAGTGACTTTGATGACCGCTTTGTTCTTCTGCCTCTCAGCATCTCCATGAACAGACAGGTTATTGCTTGTAATGATGGCTGTGAGGTCATTGTTGACACCGGGACATCACTGATCCTTGGCCCAAGAAGAATGGTCGATAACGTCCTGAGGCTCATCGGCGCCAAGCCACAGGGTTCCGAGGTGAATGATCATGCCCAAGGGTCACTCTAAGTTTGCACACACAACAAGGATCTCCAGGGCCAACCTCTCTCCCTCTCTCTCTAACAGCACTACGTTTCATGTTCTGCGGTCAACACCCTGCCGTCTATTGACTTCACCATCAACGGCATCAACTACCCAGTGCCAGCTCAAGCCTACACCATCAAGGTGAGGGGACAATACTGAGGGTTGGGTCTCAAACTGGAGCTTGCAGGAACCCTTGGGCTGCTGCTGGGAGGAGGGCACCTTCTCCAGGCCATGTCACACCATTGCAGATGCAGCTGAGCCTTGTGGCTGGGCCAGTGCCTCCCAAAGAACCAACTACTTGAGAGTAAAGGGCCGTCTGGGACAGTGATCATCCTGAAATAAATGTGGAGACGCCACACCATGCTGGCATGGTGGGAGTCACAAGGGGAGGGGAACATTAAGGTCCTCAGTCATCAGAGAGCTTCAGTTCAAGCTGAACCCTTAGGCGCATGAACATGAAAGTCAGCACTAGCAATCCCTGAAATAGGCAATGTTACAAAGAGAATGGCTGGGTGATGTTCCATCATAAATTAATAGTCACCCTTCCCTTCTCAAAGTTTTCCTGCTTTGGATGATAAATTACATGGTCTCCCTAGATCTCGGTTGCTTCTTCCCCTTGTTCTGGCCAGGTGCCCCCTTTGTGAATTGGGGTACCCGACCCCTCTGTGGGGATGTTAAATAGTAAGGTGAATAAAGGGTGCACAGTGACTGCTCAGCCCCAGCACAGGGTGGAGGCTTCATGTCAGCTCCCTGTGGGAGTACTTAGCAGGCTGATGGGTTCAAAGAAGGCTTTGAGGAAGGGAGGGAATTTCAGGAATTCTAAAATCACAAACTCATGAAGCCATATGGAGGGTTGCTTAATTCTAGGCAACACTGCACTGGATTCCATGCAAATGGCATCGCAAGGTGCTCTGCATTGGGGCACTGGGGACTTACTAGGGGTGATGAGGGCTACTGACTGACCGGTGGGAATGGGGAACCAGAGTACATTACTCAACCAAGCCCGGAATCGCCAAAGAGGGTGAGTGTGGACTGAAGGAGGCTTCCCAGAGTTCCTGAGTTAAGTCTTCAAGAATGTGTTGTGGGCACTGCTATATTTAAGATGGATAACCAACAATGAATTACTGTGTAGCACAGGCAACTCTGCTCAGTTATATGACAGCCTGGATGGGAGGGGTATCTTTGGGACCAGGATACATAGACACATACAATTGAGTCCATTTACTGTCCACCTGAAACTCAGAATATTGTTAATCAGCTATACTTCAATATAAAAGAAAGTTTTTTAATACAGTTTGGATTGTGGGGATGCTGGAAGAGGACCTGCATTCTCGGTAGAGAAAACAAGGAGCAGAAGTCAGAAGGAAGAAACAGGGAGTGAGGAGAACCAAGGGGCACTCTTGTTCTTTTCTAAAAATTGTATTGAAGTGTGGCTGATCTTCAGTGTCACCTTAAGTTCTGCTGCACAGCAATGTGACTCAGTTATATACATAAAAAAATATACATTCTTTTTCTTATTCTTTTTCTTCTGGTTTATCACTGGATATTGAATATAGTTCCTTACTCTTGACAGTAGGATTTGTTGTTTATCATTCCACTGTTTCCCCAAGTCCCAGTCCTCCACTCACCACACCCTTCCTCATGACAGCTGCATGTATGGGCCCTTTTTGGTTTTGGATGAACTCTCACATCCCTTGCTGCTCATAAAACCACTTGATTCTTATCAAAAGAGGGGAAATTAAATCAAGAATGGTGCTCGGTTTGGATATTGGGGTGAGTCGCTGATAAGGGCTCAGCCTGACTGGTGTGTGTCTCTAACTCCCCCCAGGGTTCTGATGGCAACTGCTATATCACCTTTAAACAGATCCCAGCGAGTACACCTAGAGAGACCTGGATCCTGGGTGACGTCTTCCTGAGACTGTATTTCTCGGTCTTTGATCGAGGAAATGACAGAATTGGCCTGGCACAGGCAGTGTAACGCTTGGAGTGATTCAGGAATCAGTAAGGCCTCTCCTAACACCTTCACTCACATTTAGGGCACTCCTGCCCAGGATGCTGATGAGCTGTATTTGGTGGTCTGCACACCCTATTCTCAGTAAAGAATAAAGGGTTTCACTTGTAATGGTGCTGAAACAAATGGATGCCTCTGTTTGTGTCTGGGAGTGAAGGATCTAGAACCTAGTCTGAATCAAAATTGAGAGAAGCCCAACTCCAATTGGCTACAAGGAAAAGGGGGACTCATTGAAATGATTCTGGGAATCCAGGACACAAGAATCAGAAGAAATACAAAGATCTCAGTGACTGGACACAAGAAATTAGAAGTCATCAGTTTTCTTTTTCTCACCTTTGGTCTTTCCCTTCCCTGTTCTTTAGGGGTCTTAGCCTGACAACTTTCTTCCCTAAGGCTTCTACACCTAGTGTGGGAGTCCAAGCTACCTGCCCTAGAGTTTTATATACCCAAGGCATCACCTAGTAAGGAAAGAAGCTCAGAGCTATCAGAGTTCAATGGTGTTCTCTGAATGACCCAACTCAGATCACCTGTACAGACCCAGATCTGTCATCCTGGCAGGGCCATGGGGTTCTATGACTGGTTTTACATGGTCATTGGCCCTGACCCAGCAGCACACATGATTCTCAGTTTCCTCCAGAACTACATGACTGAAGCTGGGGAGAGCCAGCCCCGAGTATAGTGACTGGGGGATGATCTAGGCCATGGAAGAGCTTTTGATGACCCACCAACTCCACCACCTCCTCATTCAGAGGAATTCTAAGGGGTAATGAAATAGACTCTTTTCGTCCCATCTCAGATTATTTTATCACTGGGCTTCTCCTCCAGGGGTGTTTGGGTGAGGTGGTTCATGCAGAGCTGGTGCCCTCTTGTTCCCACACCCCAATCACCAGCTCTCTGCCACATATGCCTGCTCTGTCCTTTCCAGTCCTACTTGGTAAGTGATGGCCCCATTGGATCCCTGAGCCACCCCTCTCCTCCAGGGTCCAGAATGCTCCCTCCTTGGCCTTCAATGCTGCTGGGGAGAATGCAACGCATGTATCGGGGGACCTAGGGTACACAGAGCCTTCAGCCTTTCTGAGCTTCCTCCAGAGGTGGGACTGCAAGCTCGTTGCTTGAAGCTGCCAAGGTTAGGCACTTTTGCAGTGGAAGCATCCGTTCTGTCCACCTGGAGGCCCTCAGTAGATGCCTCAGCTGAGACAGGAGGGGTAAGAGGTTGATTTCCTTTCAGATTGATTGGCTTGATCTCCTTGTTGTATAAGGGACTCTCAAGAATCTTCTCAAGCATCACAGTTGAAAAGCTTAATTTTTTGGCATTCACCCTTTTTTGGTCCAGATCGTACATCTGTACATGATTACTGGAAAAAATCATATATTTGACACTACAGACTTCTGTAGCAAAGTGAGTCTCTGGTTTTATTACACTGTTCAGGTTTTTCATAGCCGTGTTTCCTTCCAGGAGCAAATGTCTTTTAATTTTGTGGCTGCAGTAAAGGTCCATAGTGATTTTGGAGCCCAAGAAAATAAAATCTGCCACTGTTTCCACTTTTCCCTCATCTATATGCCACGAATTGTGGGACTGGATGCCATGAATGCTGAGTATTATTTTGTGAATAGTTTTTTGAATGTTCAGTTTTAAGCCACATTTTGCATCTCCTCTCCTCATCAAGAGGCTCTTTAGTTCTTCTTTGCTTTCTGCCATTAGGGAAGTGTCATCTTCATATCTGTGGCTGTTGATAATTCTCCCAACAATCTTCATTCCAGCTTGGGATTCATCCAGTTCAGCATATTGAATGATGTATCCTACATATAAGTTCAATAACCAGAGTGACAATGTATACCTTTTCATGCTCCTTTCCAGATCTTAAATCTCTTAGTTGCTCCATGTCTGATTCTAACTGCCACTTTTTGACCTACACACAGACTTTCAGGAACAGGTAAGGTGATCCTCTACTCCCATTCCCTTAAGATTTTTCCACAGTTAGTTGTGGTCCACACAATGAAAGGCTTTAGCATAGTCAGTGAAGCAGACGGAAATGGTTTTCTGGGATGCCCTTGCTTTCTCTATGATTCAATGGATATTGGCAATTTGATCTCTGGTTCCTCAAACCAGTTTGTACATCTGGAAGTTCTCAGTTCATGTACTGTTGAAGCTTCGCTTGGAGGATTTTTAGTATTATCTTGCTAGCAAATGAGATGAGCGCAATTGCATGATAGGTTGAACATTCTTTGAAATTGCCTTTCTTTTGGATTGGTTGAAAACTGACCTTTTCCTGCGCTGTGGCCACTGCTGAGTTTTCCAAATTGCTGACATATTGAATGCAGCAGTTTTACAGCCTCATTCTTTAGGATATTTTAAACAGCTCAGCTGGAATTCCGTCACCTCCCCTAGCTTTGTTTGTAGTGATGTTTCCTAAGGCCCACTTGACTACTTGCTCCAGTATATCTGGCTTTACATGAGTGACCCCAGCATCATCCCTAACCTGGTCTTTATGACAGTTTTTGTACAGTTCTTCTCAGCATTCTTGCTACCTCTTCTTAATCTCATCTTCTTCTGGTAGGTCTTTGACTTTGCTGTCCTTTATTGTGCCCATCTTTGCCTAAAGTGTTCCTATGTTATCTCCAACTTTCCTGAAGAGATCTATACTCTTTACAATTCTATTATTTTCCTCCAATTCTTGCCCTGTTCACTTATGAAGACTTTCTTAACTCTGCTTGCTTTTCTCTGGAAGTCTGCATTCTTTTGGGTATATCTTTTCCTTTCTCCTTTGACTTTCAGTTCTGTTTTCTCAGCTCTTTTTAAGACCTCCTCAGGCAACCACGTTTCCTTCTCATATTTGGTTTTCTTGGGGATGGTTTTGGTGACCACCTCCCATACAATGTTACAAATATCCTTCCATAGTTCTTCAGGCTACCAAAGCTAATCCCACGAGTCTGTTTTTCATCTTCACTATATAAGCATAAGGGATTTGATTCAGCTCATAGCTGAATGTTCTAGTGGTTTTCCTTACTTTCTTTAATTTAAGCCTGAATATTGCTTGCTTCTGCCTAAGCATTGGTCCCAGATCACCACCCATCACTCCCATTGGGTGTGGAACAAAAAGACACAAATGAGGCCTGTTGCCCTGAGTTTTTGCTTGGTGATTCACATGAATAAGTGTGTGAACTTGATCATGTCCCTTAACCTCAGTTTTCTCATCTAGAAAATGGGCACCATGATGATAATTGCACCTTCTAGATTGCATGTGTGCCTGCTAAGAACAAGTGGTGCTGAGAGGGCTTTCTGGGTTCCTGAGTATAGAACAAATATGAATTATCCTCCCACCCGGGGAGAAGGGACTCTTCTGTTTAGAGGTTATGGCTGCCATCCTCAAGGCTCAATATTGATTCAAGCTAAATGACCTCTATTTCTGAACCATGATACAGAACTCTGACTGAGTCAATGCTTCTGCTTTCTGGGCTCCAACAAGAGCTTATGATTACTGGCTCAGATTACTCCCTTCCCAGCCTTACCTGCCATCCTTTCCTTGCCAACTACCTCTAGCCTGAAATCACACTGCAAGGAGAGTTGTAAGGCTTTTGGTCTCTTGTCAGTTTCCCACATCTCCTGCATAGCAACAAGTAGCAGTTATGGCTACTTGTCATAGCAACAACTATGGCAGCCTGTACAATCCAATCTCAGCCTTTTAAATGAAACTGTCCCCATTTGGCCCCTCATGTTTAAATTACCAATAGTTGCCTTAGAAACCTTCCTATGCTTGCTGTTTAATGACGAAATATGTGTGGATCTCATCTAGCTTTCTTTCCCAAGCATGATTCTAAACATGCAATGAAGTAACCAGACATTGAGCCATCTAATTACCCTCAGGAATCGATAAAAGCAAACCACACATCGTGCATTTCTCGCTTGCCCCAAAACACCACTGAAGGGATCTGCTGCAACAAAGGGATACGTTGGCATGTACACTCCAGAAGGGACACATTTTCTGGATTCGTTTTCCACCCCGTACAGAATGTTTACCACATGCCTCGCCCTCCAGCAGCTGGTCACCTGGTTTTTGCAGACTCAGCCCACCCCAATTTCCTTCCACAACCCTCAGCAAAATCTAGAGCACAAACTCAGTCAAAGATCTCAGTCATGCAGAAAACAGTTTTTTGATTTTTTTGGAAAACAATGTTTGGTAACACATTCAGTATCTTGTGCTCCTTGCCTTGGATTCAGGGACCTGCACCAGAGAATGGGAAGCCTCCCCTTTACCTAAATCTTTCTTTACTCCTATCAGGGCCAGAGGCTTCACTGGACCCTCTGTTCTCATTGGTATTGTTCAGTTGCTAAGTCATGTCTGACTCTTTGTGATTACATGTATGGCAGCAAAACAGGCTTCCCTGTCTTACACTATTTTGTGTAGTTTCCTCAAACTCATGTCCATTGAGTCGGTGATGCCATCTCACCATCTCATCATTTTGATCCCTCTCCTTTTGCCTACAATCTTTCCCAGCATCAGGGTCTCTTCCAATGAGCTGGCTCTTCACATCAGATGGCCTAAATGTTGGAATTTCATCTTCAGCATCAGTCCTTCCACTGAATATTGCTCTACCACTTCCCAAACAAAACTCATGTTTCCAATCATCTAAGAAAACTGAGCATGGATAAAGTTTAATAGAACAGTGATCTTGTCTTCTGCGAAATCCTAGCATTGCCACCCTGCCTTTCTGTTACCATTCTCTCCACCTGGCATAGAATTGCTTCCCTACAGCTTCTCCAGCTTGAAACGGCTTGCCGAGCCATCATTGTCAGCTATATAGGAATTGTTCCTTCCCCCTTCCCTAAAGACTTCTGCCTGCTCCCTGATCACCCTCTTACATCAGGTCTGTTCAGTCTCTCAGTCATGTCCATGTCTTTGTCACGTCTATGTCCATGTCTATGTAATGTCTATGTCATGTCTATGTCATGGGGTACAGCACCTCAG